GTTGCAAATCTATATTCTAATTGAAAAAAAATTTTCAATAGAAAATCACAAAATGGAAACGTTATTGATTCGTACCCGGGTATATTACAATATACTACATCCAATGACCTTGAAACGTACCCGGTACGAATCAAGGGGGGTACTGATCAAGGGGGGTACCTTGCATGGAAAATTACGGTAAACCTAATTTCAACAAATATTTTTATTGGCCTGAGTATCAAGTCAAATAAATTGGAATCTAAAATCGCTCAAAAAATGCATACAGATCGACTTATTGGTAATATTGATAAAGTAAATATGACACTTGATTTTGAGTCACCCTTTGCGACCTTTATTGGTGATGGCTTTGTTTGAATAAAATCGTTAAATTTTCTTTTCAGAATCTGAACTTTATCATTGTCATATTCTATTTTTGAGTGTATTTCAATTCTGTCTCAATGACCATCTACGGCATAATTAATTTAATTTAAAATGAAAAAATCAGCCAAAAAAACATGATGATAATAAACTTACAATAAATCCTAATAATTTTAATATCCCCGATTTCATCATATGAATATTGTTCGAATGAGAAGCTATTGTGAAACTCCCAAACTCTTCATATACATATATACCATCCTTCCACATAATTCAAGGTATAAGTGGTCAGGTGATTCCTAAAAAAAGAATGCATTATTTCGGTCTTGATTGAACATCGTTATAACTAGACAATCTACTTAATGTGAAGACAATACCTCATTGTCGGTATTTATTGCCTGATTGTCTGGATGAACTTGCTGGTCAACCTCATTATTCCAATCCTATAAAAGAATAAGATCAATATCAAAATTGGGTATAAAAAATGGCAAACATCAATTATATCTTACAGCATAAATGTCCGATTCCTGGTTCATTCGATCATTAGTTCTTGCGGTTTGAAAATCTTCTCTTGTATCGTCCGTTATAAATACCCTTTTCTAAAATAAAGAATTATGCTAATAATCAATGCCTCATGTGACCTAATAATGCAATGAATTTGTACTTACTTTTGCCTGTAATCTTCTTATATTTATTAATGTATCCCCAATAGTTTGCAAATATTTTGCATGCTAACAAGATCAGTCAGTTAGATGTTGATGAATGAAATTATTGCCAAGCATAATAATGACAGGAAACCATACATTAACTTGTTCTTGCATTTCGCGAACATAGAGAATGACATCAGGTTTTATGTTCTTGTTTGTAGCGATGTAAATAAGGCTTAGGTTGTATGTATCTAATATGTCTTGTGGCGTCGATTTAGGGTTCTCGCATAGATTATTCCATCTCATCAAGAGCGTTTTAGAGAAAAATGGACTAATTTTCGAATTTTGGCAAAAGCTAGGATCAAGCCTGAAATTGGCTATTTTGCTCATCTGCTCTTTTGTAAAAAAGGCGTCATGTTAGCCAACGAAACCAACAGATACACACGCAAATATTCTTTTGTAGCCCCCATCTGGGGCAAAATATACAGTCACAATCATGCGGTTGAACACATGAAGTTCGAGGCAATCCTTTCATATGACCCTAGCTATCCTTTTCGTGTTGAACGATCAGGTAGAAGAGTAGAGCTCCTGGACACAAGACTGAATACTCTCTCAGAAGTAAGCTCTTTCCGCTAACCTCCTTTCTTACACGTATGTTGAATACGGAAGATTTGCAAGTAAACCCTGGGGCGTTAGAATCCCAGCATCCTATCTGTCTAATCAAGAAATCCGCCCTTCGTGTTGAATCCCGGGCTGGGCTTGATGGTACCCATGCAACAAAAAGAGGCGCGTGTACATGGAAACAGTTACTAATAGTAACAGTAATACTTAACTTTCAAGAGTGATGAAATTTTTCTCTTCAAGCAATACCATATATTTTTTCAATCGTTGCGGCTTGACAAATTAATATAGTTACGGCATGTGCCGCCATAATGTCGTAATGTGAGCAGGGACACGGAAAAATTTCGATAAATATTGTTTTTTATTTCGATATAAAAGTTTGATTAAAGTGCAATATAACGACCCTATGAAAAAAATTTTTCGGAAAACATGGAAGCTGAACACAGAAATATACGTAAAAATATGTAAAAGATACACTTTCCGTGTTTTTGGATAGGAAATCACACTGTATTTTCCGTGTTTTCTAAAACACGGAATGGCATTTTTCGTGTTTCAAAATACAGTGTGTTTTCAGCTTCTGAAAATTTTTTTTTATAGGGCGAGCCTAATTTCTATTTTTGTCCAATAGACATGCTACAAAAATCAAGCCAATAATCAGCAAAAAATATTCAGGAGGAACCGTTGATGTTACACAACTGATTTTACACACATAAAAAAAAATTATTTTACAATACTTGATCGGACTTGATCAGCTAGTGCATGTTATTAGTGTTAATAGTCGATTTTGCATTAGTCAATAAAATCGGCTTAGCCGGCTTAGTCAGCCGATTTTTCAAAAAATCGGCTTAGTCGACTAACAATAGGTTATATATGTTATATTAAAAATTTAGCCCAGTTTATGCTAGAATCCGAAAATCAACGAACATAAAATACGAGCAAGGCTGGGACAAAAAATTTGAGGAAAGCTCCGATTATTTACGAAGTTTAATCAAATAGAACTTCGAATAATCGACTCTGAACTGACTTAGCTGGCTAAGTCGATTTTTAAATATCGACTTAGTCGAGTCGATAAATAATGGTCGACTACAAACACTACATGTTATGATTATAATCCAACACCATTTTTTATTATGTTGGATTATAATCGTAACATGTACTAGCTGACTGATCAAGTATTGTAAAATAATTTTTTTGTTCACACCGTGTGTAAAATCAGTTGTGTAACATCAACGGTTCCTCCTGTTGATAATGCTGTAATAGTAATGGCGTTAAACCAGTATTGTTATAGGGATCCTAAAGATAATATAAAAACAATACTATCTTCAAGTCTCTATTTTTATACAATACTGTACTGGTTTAACGTAAATTATGAATGTCCCCTTATCAATAACTATATATCTGTATTTGAAATTTCACCAACACGAAAAATAAATTGCTATATAATCTCTTTTCACGTGAAGTTGCACAACCAAAAATGCAACATTATTGGTGGGTTAAAATAGCCTATCAATCAGATTAGCCGTAAAAAATGTAAAAAATTGTTTTATAATGCGATATTCGGTAAAAATTGTGATTTATTGTTTTCTAATCTTTTCGAAATTTTCCCGTGTCCCTGATTTTTTTTTCTGTTTATGGAATTTTTCATATACTGATTCTTTAAAAAAATCCTATTTGAGTAAGAGTAATGATTTTCGTTTGTTCATTTTTGGGGGACGTCTAAAGCGGAGTAGATTCTTATAATATTTATTTTATCGAATTAACTTTAGGGTTATGGTTATCTTGAATTAGAGTTAGTGCAGGGTTTAGGTAGATATATATAAGCAAAATTGTCTTTCCGACATTTTACTTAATTTACCTAAGGTAGGTTTAGACTGCTATTTTTTGTATTTCGGCTCGTGATTCTGCTCCGCTTTAGACGACCCCACATTTAATAATTCTAGAAATAAAACAGCAAACCAAGTTCATAAAGCAAGAACATAAATAATTATTTTCCATTACGTACAAATCATTTAATTTAGCGTGTGAGTATTAATAACATTCAATAATAAAAACAGAAAAAAAGTTCACAAAACGAGAACCTAAAATACTTATTTACCATTACGTACAAATCATTCAGCGAGTAAGTATAAAGAACATAATAATTTTACGAAAAAACAGCAAAAAAGTTCACAAAACAAGAAAATAAATACTTATTTACTATTACGTACAAATCAATAATTTAGTGGGTAAGTATAAATTTATCTGCATTTGATATAAAGTTTAAAATTGCAGATGCGAGATAAAACATTATATTGTATAGATATTCCGAATGTGGAAAATGCGTTCATTGTAACAAAGATAACACTAATAAAGCATGGTGTCTATGTATCATGCGACCCTGATATAACAACAAGATGGACAATTGGGAAATAAAGATATTGATGATTGCATGAAAGAATTCCAACTTAGAACCCGGGCATATGAAGATGTGGTTGAATGGATTCCATTTAATAGACTGTCTGAGGTTAAAGAAATCGGTAAAGGAGGATTTGGCTCTGTATATTCGGCAACCTGATTGGATGGCATACGAAAAGTTGATGGTGATAATTACAATTATGTAAGAGCGCGTGAACCATTCAGCATCGTTGCACTCAAGACGTTGACCAGTTCGAAGGAAAACAATTTTGATTTTTTAAAAGTAGTAAGTTAATTTATTGCTTTTATAATTTATTAATAGTTTATTGAACTAATTTATTATTAAACCTTGAGTTTAAAAGTCTTATGAAATGTAAATTAAAATATAGTAAGCTCGCGATATATGGAATAACACAAAAAACAGAAAACAACGAATACTTGATGGTATTTCAGTATGCTAATAAAGGGAGTCTTCATAAATATTTAAAAGAGAATTTTAGTAAACTTACATGGCAGAGTAAATTACAAATACTTAAAGATATTTCATATGAGTTATATCTTATTCACGAATATCAAAATATATTCATGCTGATTTTCATAGCGGTAATATTTTGCAAGACCAATGCACTAATAAAGATGCACAATCTTATATCGCAGATCTAGGATTGTCTAGAAAGAAAGATGATAGTATTTCAGAGGGTGGTATTTTTGGAGTCATGCCCTATGTTGCTCCTGAAGTTTTATCAGTTTACACAAGCAGCAGATATATATGGATTTGGTATTATTATGTCAGAAATGTCAACCGGACAAAGGCCTTTTGACGGTTATCAATTTAATGAAGAACTTGCAGTAAAGATTTGCGCTGGATTGTGTCCAGATTTTGCTTCAGGAACTCCTGGCCGCTACGTCGAATTGGCAAAGAAATGTATAAATACAGATCCACAAGAACGGCTTAGTGCATTGGATATTTATAAAAAAATTAGTGGCTGGCTTAAAGAGTTAGCTTCAGATGATGAAAATGAAATCAAAAAACAGTTCTTAAATGCAGATCAAATCATTAAAACATTGCCAATAATTCCTCAAAATCATCCAGATCATATGTACACTAGCAAAACTATTAGCACACAAAAGATAGCCAATAGAATTAAAGGTATTAATTAATCAAAAAATTATTTGAATATAAATATTATGCAATAAATAATTAAAATATATTTAATATTTTCAAATAAGAATTGTCATCAACAAGTAAACCCATTGAGTCTGTTGATATTCCTACCGATAAGTACTACAATGTTAAACTTGCTTATAAATATACAAATTTATTATTCACTTTATTTTTATTGTTTAGACATTGAATAATTTCTTTAACGGTATAAAATTTTTTAAGTACAATTAATGATATTGTATTTAAAAATTAATTTAATATTGTATTTAAATTTTTATATATATACGAAAATTTTATTACTTCATAACAAATAAAATTAATAAAATATTATGAACTTGAGTAACTTCGTTTAATATCTCACTCATTAAATTAAATGAATAACTCTAATTTAGCAAAATAAATATTCATAAATAATATAAAACAAACTCCTTCAATAAACTCTGAGCCTTGTTTTTGAGTTATAATACAGGTGCATACCGGGAGACAAGTTTCCTGATATGTACCCGATAGTCTGCCATAGATCCGCCAAATACCTGCTGTATATCAGCAGCATATTGGTAAGATACCGGGAGGTAGATCGATATCAGTAACGTAACAGAAAATATTGGGATATCCTGATATCTTACTTTTATGCCAGAGTGCTAAGAGTAAGATATCAGGGTATCCCAATATTGTACTGTTATGTTGCTGATATCGATCTACCTCCCATATCTTACCAATATGCTGTTGATATACTGCAAGTATTTGGCGGACTATCGGGTACATATCAGGAGACTTGTCACCTGGTATGTACCCGATATTCATTGATTCAGGGCGTTCTCAAGCACCCACCTCAATGAATTCAATAAAAATTAGTTTGATTAAACTGACCAATCAGATTCGTTATTGAGTCCATTGAGGTAGGCACTTGAGAACACCCTCAACCTGTGTAAGTGATTAAGACTGTAACTACGGTTCATGGTCGGATATTCGTTTGATTGGCTGATGTAAATTAATTGCCCGGGTAACTTATATGCTTTAAAGTACTTTTTTAGAACTGAACGTTTCACTAATAAAAAATCGCCATTTCCAGCTTTGAACGAACGCTAATATTCACTATACAAAAGAATCTTAAAAGAACCTTTCCCCTCGTGGACTTTGCTTAGAAGACAAAATATATTGCCATTTATTGGACCGTGTGAAATTGTACTGTGCAATAAGGGTAACTGGA